CAGATTTTGTAATTTTGTTTCTCTACACCACCTCAGTGAATTTCTACATCAAATAATCAAGATGTGACTGAAGTACAGACTTAGAGTGTAATTAAAGGGCTTTACTAAAAGGGCTGTATTAACTGTTCAGGACATTTTTATACATAGTTGCTCATTTCAGAGGCTCAAAAGTAATAGAACAGTTGAATGATGAGCTGTTCTGTGGTTTTTCATGACAAATCAAGAAGATAAAACAATCAGACCCACATTTTTTTGTCACTACTTTTTTTTTAACCAATCAAAACATGACTTCAGAAACCAGTGGGTGACATCACAGAAGCCACATTCATATTTTTTTTAATCCTAAACGTGTTGGTAAAACTACTGTGCAGTGGACATGTCTGACTTCCAGAAGAATCGAGGCCCTGTAGTTTTATTGATGATGGGACTGCTGATAGAAGTAGCAGGATGATTATGAAGTATAGAGGGCTATAGTCTCTGCACGAATGGATAACGGCCCAAAGTAAACCCCAAGAGTAAGAAAAGTTTCTGAAATAATGCAATTCTGTTGTTAAAACTCTTGAATTAAAGCTTAAAGTCTGCACTTCAATCACATCTTGTTTGCTTGATTTTAAATCCACTTTGGTGGTGTACAGAAATAAAGAAACAAGATCCGAATACTTATGGATCTAACTGTAACTCACACAAGGCATTATGGGAGAAGGAATAAGAGAAACAATCTGATTCCTTTACACATTCTAGCTGATCACTAGAGGTTGTGAACACAAAGTGCATTCACTTGAAATGAGTGTCTAGGATATAAGCATCCACCAGAAAGATGGATCTCGTGATAAAAACGAATAAGTCAAGTTCCTGCTACTTTTATATACATACTGTATACTGCTGGATACTAAATACAAAATATTAGAAAACTGGTTACTGTTTCCATGCATGCAAGTGTGCGACACAAGCCTTTTACTTCACACAGTATGTTTATCAAAGTAGCAAGTGGGTTTTTACGGCACTCTGAGAACTGAAAATGAACACTCTGTGATTCGTGGTGGCGCGAGCAGATCTGAAGTGTTTTTGCTACATGCACTGGCATTTTTGGATTCGTACAAAAGTCGCCGCCGCTGTGACTAATTCGGCTTCATTCAAACAGTTTCTTCAAACCTGCTTTGGCGTGGCCATGCAGAAAATCTACACAGAAGACTGATACGCTTTACAGCAACTATCAAAAAAAGGTCCAGACACTCCAACAAAGCCTGGTCTGTGTAAGTGTGTGTTAGTGTGTGCTTGTGTTTGTGTGTGCGCGTGTCTGTGTGGTGGTTAACAGTGAAAGCCATTAAACACTTTTGGCAAAAGGATTACAATGTGCAACAATTACAGTGATCGACACGGTGACAAAAGGCAGAAACAAAACTGGGCATGTAGTGAGGAACAAAAGCATTTGTCCAACTCAAACACTCCATCACCCACAATGCATCTCTTCAAAATAAAACACCTTTTTTTTTGGCACATGAGTTGGGGCTCGGACTCCGTACTCTTATGATTGCTGACTCTAGTGCCTAAATACTCACATGTGTCGCAGCTGTTAACTTCAGTGTTAGCTGTTATATTTCTGCGTCACTTCTGTATGAATAAAGAAACAGCCGGAGCCGCGAACCATGGATTGGAAACCTCACAGTACAGAACTGGCATCACCTGAAGGGACACTCAGAGGGAAATAAAATCCAGGTTGGCTGATGGGAAGCTTGTACTTCTGAATAAAAATAATGTCCTGTTCAGTCCCTGTCAGAGTTGATGAAAAATTATCTCCCTTCACTTATCTGCTGTTATACTCAACAACAAAAAAATAAGGGCCATATCTATCCATCCATTTTCCTAACCGATTATCCGAATCCCAGCTCTCACTAGGTGAGAAGCGAGGCACACTCTGGACAGATGGCAGGTCCATCGCAGGGTTAACAAAGAGACTGACTGCCACTCACGCCATTCATGAATGCTAACAGACAGGGTGAAAATTAGCATCCCAGAGTCTCAGGCCATGATGGAAAAGGGTGGAGTCATACTCCAGGAAGTGGTGGAGTTTAAGTATCTTGTGGTCTTCTTCACGAGTTGGAGAAAAAAGCAGAGCAGTCTGTCGCAGTAAAGACAGACCTGAGTGTATTCATTTACTGATCGATTTGTGTTTCTACCTTCGCCTATGTATACAAGTGGTAGGAATGAACTTCACGCTGAAGAGCTCAGGCATTTTTAGGAATTAGACATAAGAGTAGGAGAGAATCTGGTTTGGTCATTTCTTGTCTTCCAAACACATCCACAGCCATCCATTTCCCATTTAACATACACATTTGCGCAAGAAATGCCAAAGAAATACTGGTTTCATCCACAGGAATCACAGATAAGGAACACCGCTGGGCAACAAGCAATGCAGTAAACAGACTGATGATTGGAGAGGGGGAGGGGACCATATGGGCTAATTGAGTCCCATGTGATTTGTCTGTAAGCAACCTCATTGGTTAAAACACCAAAACTACAGCCCGTCACAGCAACATGTTTACCAGGAGAGGGGGTATTTGTCTGATTCCAGCTTGTATCTTTGTATCTTATATCTTTCATATCTGACAACTGCATTTCACTCATAGAGAAGAAGCTGTGTTTTCTGAAAAATAAATCCCAAGCAATAAATTTAAGACCCAGAACACTGACATTTGAGGTTGCAAAAGCATTTCCAGAATCCTCACATCTC